CACACACACACACACACACACACACACACACACACACACACACACACACACACACACACACACACATGTATGTTTAGAATCTTGACCACAGATGAGGGGCAGAGAGTGTTTGTTGTGGGTGTCATTCCCACGGGCTGCTCTTTTGGAGCCCATGAAGTAATGAGGGCTTCTAGGGTGTTTTAAGCAGTGGCGCTCCTGGCGTTGCGTGGAGATCTTGTGGTGTTTGGTGTAGCTCGCACAGTGGCCTCGTTGTAGCACTATGAAATTTTTGAATGGCATCCTGTGGAGTGGGTTGGAGTTGTAGTCCTCTTCCCATTATTCTGCAGATTGCACGGCGGAGGGAGGTTCATGGCACTCTTGGTGTTGCGTAGAGGTCCTGTAGTGTTTGTCTGATTTACCACGGCATTGTGGGAGTTGTGGTCTAGGAAGATTGTCACGCCCGGCCGGGCACCTGGGCGTGACGCCTGGAGAAGTCTGATGCCCAGGTTATGTTATTTTCTTCTTCTTTTTTTATCTACGATTTGGTGAGGAATTCTGATGTGACTCTCAGCCAAAAGTCGTTTGTATTGCAGTTCTACACAAGGTTTTTTTTTTTTCCGGAAGGTTTTGAATTTTTCTGTTTTTTCTTTGGGCACTGCGGCTGCCCGGAACCCTGCGCGGGGTTCATGTCCGGCCGGCCACCAGGGCATGTATCCGGGCACGAGTTGGGTGCCCCGGCACCCGGAAAAACAGTCTAGGTTGTGGTGCAATTAATATTTGTTTTGTGTAATCGCCGTATGTTAAGTATGTCGCCTTTTGCCCTCCATCCTTTTATGGTATCGTCAAACAGATATATATGTGAGTCAAATGTGCCAGTTGAGGGTTCAGCCTCCTGACGAGTCGGTGAACTCCGACGAAACAGTTTGTCATGCCCCCTCGTTTGTTGTCCTCTTCTCCCTCTCTGCCTACAGTTTACTGAGCAGTTCTGTTTGACGATATATATGTGAGTCAATAATGTGACAATATATATACAGTCAAACAGAGCTGCCCGTAGGCAGAGAGGGAGAAGAGGACAACAAACGAGGGGCTGTGACAATATCGTATATATATATAATATGTATACGATATATATAATATATATCGTCACATATATATATCGTCACATATATATCGTCAAATAGAACCGCCCGGTAAACCGTAGGCAGAGAGGGAGAAGAGGACAACAAACGAGGGGCTGTGACAAACTGTTTCGTCGGAGTTTCACCGACTCATCAGGAGGCTGTATATATATATACAGGGTGGCCGGTATTCGGCTCGGGCGGACCACCGAACCCGAACGCCCGCATGTACGGGGACCCCTGGCCACACGTTCGGCCCGAACACGGCCATTTTTTTCGTTTTTTCTTTTTTATTTAAAGGTTTTCTAAACTTCTTTTTTTCAGTTTTTTTTTTTTTTCGTGAAGGTATTGCAGAGGGGGTGTTCTATACATGGTCATCGACCAGACGTCCGCATTGGGTTCCAGACAGTCCGGAACAACATGTTCAGTGTCCGGTCCTTACGTCCGGATGGAGCCCCCCAGGACAAAAATTGAAAAAAATAAAGGGGCGGCCCAGGACGTTTTTCGGGTCCTGGCCACCCCTTGAAAAATAATGGGGTGATTTTTCAGTGTCGTTTTACCCCACTGGACAGGGCCTAGAGGTCCGGACACAAGACACTGCAGGTTTTTGGGGTGGCGGGTTTCAAACAGGCCCGAGCAATTTCAAAGTGGCCCGCCAGCCGCTGCTGCCCGTTGCACAGAGAGAGAGAGAGAGAGAGAGAGAGAGAGAGAGAGAGAGAGAGAGAGAGAGAGAGAGAGAGAGAGAGAGAGAGAGCACTGACAGTCCTGCCAGT